TATGGTAGATCTATCTTCAGTTGTTTGAGGAACCTCCAAACCATTTTCCATAGGGGTTGCACCATTGTGCATTCCCACCAACAATGTAAGAGAGTTCCTTTTTCTCCGCAGCCATGCCAGCATTTATCTTTCGGTGTCTTTTGGATTTTTGCCATCCTAACTGGGGTGAGATGGTATCTCAGTGTGGTTTTGATTTGCATTTCCTGGATGCTGAGTGATGTTGAGCATTTTTTCATATGACTGTTGGCCTTTTGTATATCTTCTTTAGAGAAATGCCTGCTTAGCTCTTTTGCCCATTTTTTGATTGGGTTGCTTGTTTTTTTCTTGTAAAGTTGTTTGAGTTCTTTATATATTCTGGATATTAGTCCTTTGTCAGATGTGTATTTTGCAAATATTTTCTCCCACTCTGTTGGCTGTCTTTTAGCTCTGTTAATTGTTTTTCACTATGCTTCTTGGTAGGGAGAACCTAGTCTTAGCCTGACAATATTTTTATCTTGATAGTTTTAGAGAAATCCCAACCATTCTACTCACAATTGATATCAATTCTCTATTGTCCCTTTCCCTCTTTTCTTAGCACTTCAAGTCTGTTCCACATTGTTAAATATTAAATTACCTACTGTCTTGTACTGTTCACTGCACTGACCTTATCTTCTCACAGGAGAGTTCTTCCTTGATGGTGGGCATTATGCTTCTTTTGTACTGCCCATAGTGCCTAGCACAGTGCTGGTCATCTGATATATATTTACTACTTCACTAAAATCCACAATATTACTGGCTTTGTGCAATAGATACAATTTTCCTTCTTATTTTAGGCTATTCCATAAATAAACTATCCAAAGTGAAATATATCAAGGTTTGAGCAAATAAGAGGTTGCATTCAATAGAAGACAGAAGTAATGTTGTTTAACAGAGGAGAAAACAGAGCATCACTTACTTTCTTCATGCCTTAGTCTACCTATGGGTTCTGTAAGACATAAATAAACTATCCAAAGTGAAATATATCAAGGTTTGAGCAAATAAGAGGTTGCATTCAACAGAAGACAGAAGTAATGTTGTTTAACAGAGGAGAAAACAGAGCATCACTTACTTTCTTCATGCCTTAGTCTACCTATGGGTTCTGTAAGACAATCAATAAAGTCAAAACAACTGAGAAAGAAAATTGTAATATTAACACTAACCTGAAAGTTCGAACAAGATTTTTAAGTTGTGTGGAAATATCTCCCAATGTAATCTGAAGAGGACCCAAAAGTACAGGCAATCTGAAAATAAAAAATTACGTATCTTTTAAAATATAATTTAATTATATGGAAACATTTTGGGGGTTGTGCCTAGGTCTGGATTTTCCACAGGTAATAATGGCACTTCAATGGAGGCAGGCATGATTTTAAACATTTAAGCTAGGTGATGACTAGTGATAAATCATAAGCAAGCATTTTTTTTTTGGCTTTTCTAACAAGCATTTCATAATAACCCTATACTCCCCTTTGTGGTCTATGTTACAGGGCATGAAGCACTGAAATGCAAAATCATTTTGGCAACTGTCTATATTCTTGTCCCTAGTTTTTCTTACCTATTTACTTTCAAGTATTAGACCAAGGTGGAAAGAACAGAAGGCCAGAAGAACTGCCCCCCAAATGGTCCAGTCTGGGTGTGTGGTATATTTTTCCTTACTAAATCCTCATGGTGGGAGTGAAAATTGGTACAACATTTTCAGAGAGCAATTTGACAACATATATTAATACTTTAAATGTGGAAACTCTTGGACCCAATAGTTTTATTATGAAAAAAAAATTTATCCTAAGGAAAAAATCAGATAAACATAAAAAGATGCTTATTGTGGAAATTTTAGTAGTAAAAAAATTAGAAATAAATGTATTTCAATAGATGATTGATTAAACTGTTATACCCATTAAAAAGAATATAATAAAACCTTTAAAATAATGTGAATCTGTTTTTTAAAATGTGGATATTCATGATAAATGTTAAGTGAAAAATGCATATAGTATTGTCCCATTTTTATAAAAACATATATTATGCTATTGTATATGATACATATTATGTATCAAACATATTTCATTCCTTGTAGGTTTATCCTAATACAGAGGGAACCAAAGGGAATGAATATATATACACCATATACATCATATATACATCAGGGACAAACATCAAAATACTAATAGCACTTATTGTTGAGGGGTGGGATTACAGGTGATTTTCACTTCCTTCTTCGTATTATTTTGTACTGCCTAAACCTTCTACAATAAGCATGTATTACTTTTTTGAAAAAAACTTATTATGGAAGTTTTAAACATGTTCCAAAATGGAGAAAACAGTAATAATAAACTCATATATCTATTTCCAGATTCAACCTCCCAGTATTTTGCTACATATGCTTAATTTTCCTGTCCTTCTTTTCTTATTTTGCAGTAATATTTTAAAGTAAATCCATGACATCATGTCATTTGACCTCTATTTCTATTTGTATCACAAAATACAAAGGTACTTCCTTATATAACCACAATAAAATTATCATACCTAACCAAATTAATAACAATTCCTTAATATCATCTAATACCCAGTACATATTCAATTTCATCCAATATCTTTAAAAAAGTGTCTTTTTACAACTGCTTCATTCAATCAGAAACCAAAAAAGTTCTTACTTTTATAATGAGAAAAAAACCCAAGAGCTTTCATAAACAAACAAAAAACCCTATGCCACTATTGTTAGTTTTATTTTCAATGTTCTTTCTGTTTCTTTTTAAGTTATTCCACTCCTTCTCAAATTCAGTTCTTATGCCAATATCAAATTTGGCCTTCTAGCAGGGTTCCTTTTGGTATCCTCTGTTTTGGCTAAAACCTAGAAGAAGCAAAATTGCTTCAATAACTTGCCTATATGATCTTAAATGTAAAACTGGATACTTTCATTAGCTAAAAAGTCTAGAAAACTATTTCCACATAAATCCCTACATAGTGAATACATACCAGTATAGACAGTCCATCCCAATTTTCAAAACCTATGTAACTAAAGTCAAGGTTGATATCTTCTTGTCCTATGAACCAGATTGGTGGTGACTTATACTGTTTTCTAAACTAATATTTAACATAAACAAATGGACAAGTATGATGATAAAATAAAAGGCAAAACTAATAAAAGACATTAAATATGAAGAGCCTAACATACAGCAGACATTTAATAAATATTAATTTAAACATTTATTTAAAATGTCAGTTCTTCCTCTTGATTCATTTTTTCATACAGGACCAAATCAAGATACAAAGCCAATCAAAAAGGATTTCAAATGTTGCTTAGAAATATATATTTTGAAGTAAAATAATCATACCTCCCATTATATCACAAGTAATGTTTTATACTCGGGCTGCTCAAAATATTACAGCTCTCAGAAAACACGTGTTTTTCTTATTTTCAAATGGCTACAAAATTAAACTTCTCCATTTACAACACTACAACACTTTAAACAATGACTGACACACCTTTCCATGTGTGCTACTCAAGAAAGAAAATTCAGGTTGAAAAGTTCAAGACAGCTCTCATACTTCTGGAAAAAAAGATTTTCAAGCTCCTTTTGAAAGAGAAGCCAAGATAGCAATTTTAAATGTCACTTATGACTGGGTTAATTACAAGAACAGTAATTTCCACCACGGGAAGCTTTAAAGCTAAAGTGCGAAGTTAAGTTGAATAAAAACTCAAGTTGCTGAGTGTGAAATGGCTGAGTGTGAAATGGCTCCACGAATACATATGCAAAGTGAGTTAAAAGACTGTTAAAACTTTATAACATCACATTCACATGTGAAACTGATGTGATACATTTACCACAAATCAGTATTTAAATGGGTCTAGTTTTGATATTTTTTCCCCTGACTTCACTGGATTATTGAGTGGGAGTGAAGTCATTTGGTTTTCTACTCCTATAATCTCAACCTTCCTCTTTATGATGTATATCTGTGTCTTCTGTACAAAACTTAATATTTCCTGGATAGAATATCTTTAAAATGTTTCTCAAATAAAGAAATCCATGTAAACTTTTCACATTATTTTCAAAATGTTCAAAATTCAAGGATAATACTTATAAATTATAAACTCATAAATATCAAATTAATTTTAAAATATTACAAAACTGGAATGGCAATTACATACATACACTTTACTCAATTTTTCAAGTACGATGCGTCTTCTAATCTGGTTCTGGGAACTTGAATCTATCAGTGGAAAGGTGGGTTCATGCTGAATCACATTTTTAAACAAAGCAAAATAAAATCATAAATTTACATTCTTTGATAAGTACAACAATAAACATTAAAACAAACATTTATATCTGTGGTACAGCAGGAAAAAAACTAGACTTGAGAATTAGAAGATTTAAATTGAGCTCAGTCATTAGGTTGATGCGAAGTTGCTTGACTCACATGCTCTCTTTTGAAAGTTAGTTTTCTCATCTGTATAAATAGGGATATTAATACCTTTCCTAAATGAGAAAATGTTTACAAAAGGATTTTGTAAACTGCTAAATGCTATACAAACGTAGGGGATTAAAAGATTAAACTCAGCATATACTATAAATATATTATAGGAAGTTCTGCTTTCAGAAATGGCAGACAAGATAATTCATACGAACCCTCCCTCTGAGAACTGAAAAGTTGGGGAAAAAAACCACATTTGTTTGAAAGCATGGGCACTAACAAGGTGGTAAAGAATTATAGGCTGAGATCCTGGAGAAGGTAATTTCTGATAGGGCACTGACTAATTTCAAAGAGGTGATTTAGATACTGAGAACCTGAGCAGCATTTTTCTAACAAAAATTAAGAGTTCAGACCATGCCAACAAGGGAGAGCTATGGGCGACCTTCCCCAAGCTTGAGACCAGGACTTAAACCACACTCTAACAGTAAGAATGAATAGGAAATAGACTGGCTCATACAGGGACTGAATCACAGCTTCAAATCATCTTAATCTCTAATTAGATTAAGGTGATTTGGGGCTCCTAAGAATCACGTCTGACGCAAATTTAAATCCATGCTAAAGAAGGACATCATCACCCTGGGTCTCCAGTTATCTCTGTAATTTTTAATATACAATGTTTGGCATGTAATAAAACAAGACAATCTGATCAAAATCTGAAACATTAGCCCATAGAAATCAACCCTAGGGAATCCAGATAATGAAGTTATTAGCATTATTTAAAATAACTATGTTTAATATATTCTTTTTTTGGTGCTGGACAGTACAGGGATCCGAACCCTTGACCTTGGTGTTATAACACTGTGCTCTAACCAGCCAGTCCCTGTTTAATTTATTCTAAGAAAAATGACAAGGTTGAAAATTTTGGCAGTGAACTGGAAACTATATAAAAAAACCAAAGATGAAAATCCTAGCAATGAAAAATACAGTACTTAAAAGAACTCAATGGTTAGACAATATTATAGTAGAAATGAGTGAACAGAGAATATTGAATAGGAAATATCCAGAATAAAGCAGTCACCCCTCCATCCCCAAAATAATGCAAAGAACAAAGAGTTTAAGAGATACGGAAGATACAGTGAAAAGTACTAACATATCTGTAATTAGAGTATCAGATAAAAGAAGAGAGGGAGAATGCGACAAAAGCAATATCTGAAGAGATAATAACTGAGAATATTCCAAAACTGATAAAAAAAAAAGTCAAGTCCCAGATTCAAGTATTACAACAGCCAAAAGAATAAATAGAAATATAATCACATCTAGACAAAGCATTATAAAACTGGTGGTAAACAAAAACAAACAAAATCTTAAAAGTAGCTAGAGGAAGAAAACACAATTCTTTCAAAGGGTAGCAATAAGAGAAATAAATGGAAGCCAAAGACAAAAGATTATTATTTTTAGTGGGCTGAAAGAAAAGAACGGCTATATTAGAATTCAATACTCAGGAAACTATCTTTCAAAAGTAAAATTAAAATAAAGAATATTATGACAAACAAAAACTGAGAAAATTCACCATCAGCAAACTGGCATGAAGAGAAATAAAGGATATTCTTCAAGCACCAGGCAAATGATCCCAGATGGAGAATGGAGATGCAGAAAGGAATGAAAAACAATTAATTAGATAAATATAAATGTGTATCGGCTATAAATAATCTTGAAGATTTTAAAATATAGAAAGAATAAAAAAAAAATCCAACAATAGTACATAAGAGAGGGTAAATGAAGTTAAAGGCTATAAGGTACCAATTGTCCAGGAAGCAATAAAAGTAATAATCTATATTAGACTTTGATAAGATAAGGATTTGGGTCTTAACCTTTAGGGTAACTACTTAATGATCAGTAAAAGAGTGTATAAAAACAAGATAATAAAGGCTAGAAAACTGAGTAATGATATTCCATCCAAAAGAAAGGAAGGAGAGAAAAAGGAACATGGAACAGGTGGAACATATAGAAAGGAAACAGTGAGATAGTAGATTTCAACCCAAATATGTCATTTATAACATTAAATGCAAATGGATTAAATTCTCCAAATAAAAGACAAAGATTAGCAGTGTAGATAAAAAGATAGTCCTTAAAAATACTAATAAAAGAATGTTAGTGTCAGCAAAGTATATTGTAAAAAAAAAAAAAAAAAACAGAAGGATTACTCCATAATGTTAAGAAGTTCAATTTACCAGAGAGACATAACAACCTTACATTTGAACCCAATAACATGGTCTCAAAATATTAAAAGCAAAATTTGCAAAACTAGAAGGAGAAATAATCAATCCGTAATTATGGTGAGAGATTTAACCCACCTCTCTCAGTAATTGATGGAACAAACAAACTAAAAAAAAAAAAAAATCAATACTGCTTCTCAAATGTTAACATGCATATATATCTTCTGGGGATCTTGTTAAAAAGTAGATTCTCATTCAGTTATTGGTGGGGGGACACTGAGATTCTGCAATAAGCTCCCATGTAATGCTGATGCTGCTGGTTTGTATTATTCTATCTTTATACAGTTTTGAAAATTTCCATAACAAAACTTTTTTAAAAAATGCCTGAGTACCCACAAAGAAAACAATTGGAAAAGACAGTTTAATAGGTAATATTCTAAACATTTAAAGAAATAACATTTCTATACAAATTCTTCCAGAATAAAAGGAAACATCTCCCAATGTGCTTTGCCAAATGATTTCAACCAAAACCTGTCAAGGATACTATGAGAAAGGAAAATTATACGCAGTGCCAGATATCTTCATTCTGATCTACTTTTTGCCCTTTCCTACCTTTCTCTGTACTTCAGAAGGCTAATCTGTATGGGTTGCATCAGTGGACTTCCTTTTTCTCTGGCTTTTGTCTGGGTTTTACCAATGGAGAACAAGAAATTGGATGGTGGAGGAAAGTCAGGTGGGGGAAATTATTCCCTCCACATTCCCACTTGGTCCTCTACATGAAGTGCTTTGTTGGTCTAAGACCTCGTGGTCCACTCCTGACTTTTCCTTCAGGTCTAGGGGTAGTGAAGGCTCCCAAACTACTACTAGTGTATCATTCCTTTGTTTTTCTTCTCTCTGACCACATTTATACTTTCAAAAAGAGTCTTCTCATTAAACTTTCCTCAAATTACTTAATTTGTACTATTTGTTTTATGACGGGACCATGACCAACTCATAAACCAATCTCACTCATTCCGAAAATATGTGCAAAACTTCTAAGGAAAATATTAGGAGTATTATATAAAAGGGCTATTATAGTTCAATCAAATTGAGTATTTTATAAGAATGCTAAGTTGGTTTAATATTAAAAAATAAATGTATTATAAAAAATAAAAAATATATCATATGATCATCTTAACAGACACATGAAAAATAAAATTTAATATCTGTTCATGATTACACTTTTAGTGAATGAAAAATAGAAGGAAACTTCTATAATCAGATAAAGGGGATCTACCAAAAAACAACAAACATCATACTTAGGGGTAAAGCATATAAAGCTTTTCTTCTGACATAGGGAATGAGACAAGGAAGCCCTCTGTCCTAGAGGTCCAAACCAGAGGAATAAGGCAAGAAATAGAGAGAACAAGGATTGGAATGGAAAAATCAAAATTGTCATTCATATGTAGAAAATCCGAAAGAATTTACAGATAAATTATAAGAATTCATAACTTAAGTAAATTTTGCAAGGTTACTGGCTATAAGGTCAATATACAAAATAATTAATTGGTTTTCTATATAAAAGCCAGTTGAAATTTTTTTTAATGATAGCATTTACAACGGCATATAAAAACCAAATACCTAGGAATAAATTCAAGGAAACATGTTTAAGACCTCTATATAGAAAACTACGAAATGTGATATAGCAATATTAAAGCAGACTTAAATAAATGAAACAACATACTGTGTTCACAGACTGAAGACTATTATGTAAAGATATCAATTCTCCCCAGAATGATCTATGCACAAATTAAAGGTAATCTCAATAAAAATCTCAGCAGGTTCCCCCTCTTCCCTTTTTTGGGGGAACTTGATAAATTGATTCTAAAATTTATAAGAAAAAAAAGTGAATGGCCAGGACAATCTTGAAAAAAATCAGATAGATCTATTCTATCAGTTATCGAAACTTATTATAAAACTACTATAATCAGATAGCATGGTCTTGGCTCAGAGATAAACCAAGAGACAAGTTAACTCACACATTTATAAATATCTGATTTATGACAAGGGTCACTATCTAGAGTAATGAGGAAAAGGAAAATCTTTTTAATATGGTACATGGTGCTTGGTAAATTGGATATCCTTATGGGAAAACAATAAAATGTGACCCATACTTCTTGCTATAAACAAAAATCAATCCCCGTTGAATTGCAGATCTAAATGTAAAAGGAAAGACAACAAAGCTTCTAGAAGATGAAATAATCTGGACCAAACAAAGATTTCTTAAAGAAGTCACTAAAGGGGAACAATTAATAAACTGGACTCAAGATGCCAAAAATGAGATTGAAAGGGCAAGACTCAGAGTAGATGAGGCATGCAATATATATAACTGAAAAAGGGCTTGAATCCTGAATACATAAAGAATTCCTATAAATCATTAAGGAAAAAACCCCAGATATTCCAATAGATAAATGGAAAAAAAGACTTCAACTTCACAAAAGAGACTACCCAAATGATCAAGAAGCAAATGAAACAGTGCTTACTTCATTAATCATCAGAGAAATGTATTATAACCACAAAGCAATACTACCAGAATGGCTAAAACTAACAATATCAAGTACTGGGGAGGATGTAAAGTCGGTGGAAATGTAAACTGGTACAACCATTTTGGAAAACTGTTTGGCATTATCTAGTATAGTTGCATATATGCATACACTATGACCCAGTAATTCCAGCCCTAGATCCATACACAGAAATGCATGCACATATAAGAGAGACATATACATGAAAGTTCATAACAGCACTGTTCATAATAGCCCCAAACCAGAAATAGCCTAAATGCCCATTAACATAAATAAACAGTGGTATATTTATATAATGGAATACTATGCAGCAATGAAAGAATAAAATATAGCTACATGCAACAACACAAATGACTCACAAACATAATTTTTGCATGAAATATATCAGATACCAAAGGATACATACTGTTCAAAAACGGGAAAAACTAATCTATGCTATTATAATAGTTGTTAATTTTGGAAAGAAGTAATGATTACGAGGGAACATGAGTGGGGTTTCTAGTTTACTCCAAATGACCTATATCTTTGGCCTGGGGAGTGATTACATGGATGCCTTCACATGTGAATATTCAATGAGCTATACACTATTTGTATTATATTTCAATGAAGAAGTTTAAAAATGTTATACAACATAGGAAAAGTCATAAATTTCAGGGATTAATTTTTTCTTTTTTAAGGTTTATAAACACAAAAATGATAAAACTAATGATATGGTAGGTTCATGCAACTCAATGACAGAGATCATTGTTTCTCCCAGCTTAATGTAAGTTTTGGATGCTGGCTAATAATACACTTAAAGTGATTTCAAGTATGCTGCTGAGCTAGGCAACATTCTATAGAAATACAAGAAATTTCTAAATTTTCACTATATTTCCACTTCTACCCCCTTTCCAAATCTCCAAATTTATTTTTAAATTTACAGCCACATTTACACAGAAATCTTTAGTAACAAAGTTTCATGGTAAAAACAAGTTTATTATTCACTCCTCGTCATGCCAAATGACTTCATTTCCCAGACAGTATATATCAACCAGAAATGGGTAACAGGAATACTAAAAGATCCTCCCTAAATCAGTGACATATATTCAATCTCTACATATAACTATTTACTGAGTACCAATTATATGTCATGCACTGATAAATGCTTTACATAATCTTTAAAACTCATAACAACTGAGCAAGAGAAGATATTAACAGCCCCATTTACAGATGAGCAAACAGACTCAAGGAATTAACTTTTCGTATAGCTAGTAAATGACAGAGCAGATATTCAAATCTAGGTCTATGTGATTATGTTCTTTCCATTTTCTTTGTCCATTATTTACCATTATGTCTCCTTTACTATATTATTTTCATCTATAATATTTTAAATGGGCATGCTTGCCAAATATTATCCAAATATTTTACTATTCAACTAATAAGTCTATTTCACTGCATATAGTCCCACAGTAAATAAAACACACAAACACCCCATATAGAAATCTGAAAGAATACATTCCAACAAAGAAAAAACAAGCCTCTTTAGAGAGTCCATTATGAGGGTACTTCAAAAAGTTCGTGGAAAGATTCATATTACCTTTTAATTCTATTTTTCCACAAACTTTTTGAAGTACGCTTACATTATAGGAAGAACTAGGTTTTAAAGAATACTTTGCCCACTCTTTATAGGCTATTTTTATATTACAGAAATTATAGTACATTTATGAAAATTTACCATGGGTAGACTTCAACTTATTTGTAAAATAGTAATGCCAATAATGGAGATGGCATTGTAAGCCAAAAGGTAGAATGACTAAAGAAACTATCTGAAAATTTAACAATTTTCTTTTTAATATTCTTCTTCCTACTCCAAGATTTGCTATGGTGAGTTTTTCAAATGTCAGCAGCCCGAAAAAAATCATCAGTAAGACATACCTCTTCCGAGTCTTGTGATTTGGTATTTTCTTCATTCAAAACATATTGTCCTCTATAAAACTCCCTGATCCTTAGATTTAATGTTTCAGTTTCTTTTTTCAATTTCTCATAACTTGGCAATGGTTTAATAGCTGTGTCTGAGTCCCTAAAAGGTAAAGACTCATCCAAGCTGTTCTGAGATTCCCTCAAGCTAGGGGAATGACTATCTGGGTCAGAGTTTATGTCATCTTCGTCAAGTTCTTCTTTAACCAGAGAGGCTGAAGAGGGTTTCAGACACACAGAAGTATAATTCTGGCCATACAGAAACCTTAAAGTTTCTTCTGTCTTCCATTCAATCAAAGTACCCTTCAGGACTTTAAGTAAGTTTGTCTTTGCAATTTCAGGACACACCTGCACTGAACTAGACGCTGACCTAGAAACTTGGTTTGATTTGGCAAATTTACTCCTAAAATGCTCAGCACTTTTCTTACTTATACCTACTAGAGTTATTTCTGACCAATTGTATTTATTTTCAGAATTTTCGCTAGAAACTTGGTTTGATTTGGCAAATTTACTCCTAAAATGCTCAGCACTTTTCTTACTTATGCCTACTAGAGTTATTTCTGACCAATTGTATTTATTTTCAGAATTTTCGGAAGCTTTTACTCTTTCATGCAAAGGACTATTTGAAGAAATGTGAGTTTTTAATTTCCGTAAAGGAAGTTCACAAGCAGCAGCTTTCTCCTGATTTTCTAATCTGCAATTGCCTAACTGCTCAGTGACATCTACTACTGTCTGTTCTTTGTCTTTGTGTTTGGAATCAGTTTTTTGACCAGCTTTCATTTTCATTATGCTTTTTTTGTGCAGCTGTGGCCTTATACCTGGTGCATCTGGTCTGTTTCCTGGTAGAATGGAGGAAACAAAGTCTTGCTCATTATCACTGCTACTATCACTATGAGTACTAGAAGAACTGGATTCATATTGCTTTTTGAAATGGCCAGGAGTGTCAATATCTGATGTTTTAATGGCTTTACTGCATAACTGTACTTCTTCTCCAGCATGGCCACTGTAGAAGGAAAGATAAACAAAATAACTAAATAACAAATAAAAATAAAATAACAAGAAAGCAAAGAGCCCACAGTATTTATACTTTGCAACTTTAAAGGCAGAAATATTTATTACTAGGCTTTCAGAAGAAGGCTATAATTTCTCTACATCTAATACATATTTGACATATGTCTCCTATCTTTTCCCCTTGCCTTTTCCCCTCAATTATTTTAAAATTGTTAAAGAAGCACAGCAAAAAGAAAAAAAAAATTGATTAATTCTATCCTAGTGAGTTATTTTGATTTTTGCCTATTCTGTTTCCATGACTTTTTACATAACCTTTTTTTAAAAAAAGTTTTTCTTCATTACTGGTTTCTCAAAAAAATGTATTACAGGAACTCTGTTTAGGTTTGAAAGATCAAAAGATAAAAAGAGATGGGTAAACATTTTCCAATTCTGGTTGATCGTCATACAGAAAATTCCATAGAATGAAAAACACAAGAAAGTCGTAGCAGAAAATAAAGTGGGCAATGAAAGTTATTTAAATCTGAAAATCCAGAGTTACAACAGACTGTTAGCAATAAAAGACAACAGTTGTCCCTTTGACTATGTTCTTCAATCTTCAGATTAGGTTTGGATAAGATGAAGAATTTTGAAAGAGTGAAGGCAAAGAGTAGCTCTGCCAACACAAACTTGAGACAAATAAGGATAGGTGAGCAGTTGCTCTCAAAACAAACACCTTTATCAGAACTTTAATAAAAGATAAGGATGAGGGGGATTCTGGCTCAAGAAGCATGCTGTGGAAAAGTGTAAAAGAAAAAAAAAGAAAAAGTTGAAAGAAAGGTTGTGAATGGCAATAGAGAAAAGATGACAAGTTTGTTCAGTATTAAATATTACTTTTTAATTAGAATCTAGTCTATATAGCCATGGCACTGTCTCTTGGATCAGAAGAAAAGAGACTAAGCATAATTTCAACAAAATTAGAGCAACTTTGTTCAGTATTAAATATTACTTTTTAATTAGAATCTAGTCTATATAGCCATGGCACTGTCACTTGGATCAGAAGAAAAGAGACTAAGCATAATTTCAACAAAATTAGAGCAAATTAACTTCCTTATATTTCATAATTTCTCTTGGATGTTTAAGGCAAATATATTTTTCTATACTACTTTGAAGCTATACATTAAAGATACACATCAATAAAAGACATTTCTTTCTTGTGCTCAATTCTATGTTACTAAGGTAGTGACTCATTACAAGGAACATTTATTCTGAGAGCTGAAGGACATGTTTTGAGAGATGGCCATGGTTGGGCAAGCAACACAAATCACAACTTGGAATTTGTATTAATGCTTTAGACACTCTCTCAAATAGTTAAATAACTAAGACATTAATGTCTTGAAATCCTATAAGACTAGAAAAACCTTTCAACAAATGTAATTGGCCCAATCTAGTTGACAAACACAGTATCTGAGATGGAGGCTGTGTTTGTGTCATATTTCAACGGATTCAATTAGACTTCCTCAGTAGGAACAGCTGTACAATAAATCATACAGATCAAACACATCATCTCACCACCACAAAACAAAAAGCTGAACAGGTCAAATATTTCTTTGTGTTGGCTAGAATGGGACACTTACATAATGCAATAGCACAGGAAGTCTAAGAGCTCATATCACCTGGTTCACTCCTAATGTTTCTATCAACATAAATACATAGAAGGTAAGTGATACTGATTCAATCATACCTTTGTCCTTCCTTTAGCAGCTGAAAATCAGGATGCCTATGACAAAAACACAGAAATAGAAAACTGAAGGCAACTAACATGTTAAACATTTACAAGTATTTATTATAACTGCATTGGATAGAAAATACAATTAAAAGGGAATAGTTCATATAAATTTTTTTTTTAAGAAAAAATAAAGGACAAAGTACTGTGAAACTCATCAACAAGAAGAAATCTGGATTAGTCTCTCTCTTACTCAAAATTTACTCAAATTTCAGGACTAAGTTTGACTAACCTGGGCTAAAGTAAATCAAACCATTCTCTAAATTTCAGAGTCGTCATCATCTGTACAATTAAAATAATTAATCATGTGCTCTTTTAAGCTCTACTTCTAGAATATTATCTAAATGTTTTTCTTTTTATATGTTTGAATCTAGCTTTTTTTGCTTTGTTTTTGTTGGTGGCTGGCTAGGTGCTTTTTAAAAAAAAATTTAATCAATAATTAATCATGTGCTCTTTTAAGCTCTACTTCTAGAATATTATCTAAATGTTTTTCTTTTCATATGTTTGAATCTAGCTTTTTTTGCTTTGTTTTTGTTGGTGGCTGGCTAGGTGCTTTTTAAAAAAAAATTTAATCGACACATTGCAATTATACATATTTATGGGGTACAATCTGATTATTTTGATACATATATACATTGTATAATAATCAGGTTAGGGTAATTAACACATCAATCACCTCATGCATTTATCATTTCTTTGTAGTGAAAACATTCAAAAGCCTCTCCTCTACCTATTATGTAATATATAAAACTTAACTATTAACCACAGCCATTCTACCATGCAATAGAGCATCAGAACTTATTTAGTCTATCTAATTGAATTTTGTACCTGTTGGCCAACTTCTCTGTTATCTCTCCTCCTCCCTCCCCTTCCCAGTCTCTAGCAACTACTGTTTTACTCTCTGTTTCTGTAACATCATTTTTTTTAGACTCCACAAATGATTGAGGTCATATGGTATTTGTCTTTCTGTGCCTGGCTTATTTACTTCATTTAATATAATGTCTTCCAAGTCCAACCATGTAGCTGCAAATGACAGAATTTCATTCTTCCTTATGGCTGAATACTATCGCAGTATATGTATATATCACATTTAAAAACATCCATTCACCTGCTGGTGGACACTTAGGTTGATTCCTTGCCTTAGCTATTATAAATTGCACTGCGGTAAACATGGGAATGCAGATATCCCTTCGACACACGGACTTGGTTTCCTGTGGGCATATATCTAGTAGTGGGATTGCTGGATTAAATGGTATTTCTATTTTTAATTTTCTGAAGAACCTCCAAACTGTTTCCCACAATGGCTATACTAGTTTACACTCCCACCAACAGTGTGCTCCCTTTTCTCTACATCCTCACCAACACTTGTTTTCTTTTGTCTTTTTGATAATAGCCATTCTAACTTGGGTGAGGTGGTATCTTAAGTCTGGGTTCTCAATTAGACTACAAGCTCCTCAAGGGCAGAGATTATGTTTATAATTCTCTTGTATTTTCCTTATGTGGTCAATAAGACTTTTTGCCTTAATTTCTGAGAAAGCAGTTATATAGTGACATGGATGTGAACTGTGTAGGTCAAGTGATCTAATTTAACTCTAGGAACGATTTTGTTATATAATACCAGAAATCACATTTGGCCATCATGAATATTAAAAAGGAGGAGGAAAAAGCTCTTACAAAGCCAAGTATAAGGAAGAGTGAACATAATAGCAAACAAATCCACGAGGACAGGAGAACTAAAATAATTCTGAAGCGACTCAGAAAAAGTTCCTTTTAAAGACTGCAAAACAGATTAAACAAAAATAAATACAAGGAACTAGGTATACACTAAAGAGAAGCTAAAGCACTGAGGATAAATCCCATTTAAAGGCCAAAAGAGGTCTGCATTGAAGGCCATGGTATTGCAAAAAAAGTTTCAATTTAAAAAGTCATCCTAAATGGACAGATGGAACCAGAAGTCATGTGAGTTATGACATTTAAAGGCTTCCAGTCAAAAATGTCAGAGTTGCAAGTAGTTTTCTATATAATTAAACATCACAGCATCAGCTACGTAACTACTGCCTAAGATAACACATTCTTCTTTTGTTCAGTCCCAAGCATAGGACACACTGAAGGAAATGGGATCTCTTGCCAATCCTCTCCTTAGTTATGGGAGGCACTGTCAACTGATCAAGGCATTCCTTTCCATTAAATTCCTTCTTAATACCACACATAAGGAAGCATACAGGATGAAACCAATATCTGCTCCATAGATTCTCCTTCAGTTCAGTAATCCCCAAGACTAATAATAAAAAATTTAGAAGGAAGAGACAAAATAAGCCAATGGGCAGTGCATTACCTGAAAGTAGAAATTTTTCTTCCTCCTTTGTTCCTTAGCCCAAGCAGACTCTTTCCCAAGCATCCCAATTATCCTGTTTGCCCTACTGCTTCCTGCTCACTAAAATTCTAGTCACACAAGTTACCTTGGTTTTGTGTTATTCAAAGAAAACAAATGATCCTTCTTGGATGGTGACTAACCTTGACTACTCTAGGGGATATTTATAACTTCCAGTAAAGGGCTTTTTTGGCCTAAATAACATCTATTTACAATAAAATACTCTATTTACAATAGAGTATTTTATTGCCTGTTGACTACTTCTCCCACTTCCACTCCCAGTTCTTTCACTCTTCCTATCCCACATCTTTTCTCAAGTCTTCCTGGCTAAAATTATTAAGGTTCAGCACCATGCAGCTATCTGGCATTTGGTGCCACACTGGGGTCTGAGTATCACTGTAGAGAAGAAAAGTGTAGATACAGTGCTTCTCAATTGGAGAATCACCCAATGGCTAACTTGCAAATACAGAGTATGGCATCATTCAACAAATTCCTTCAAAAATCAAATTTGGAATTACTATACGTATGGACTATTTTGGGTATATTAAGTAATACAAAGAATAGGTTCATATTCCTTAAGGAACCTTGGAGCCTTACAATTCAGTGAGAAAAGTGCATGCTATGCTCTAAGAGCTTTGCAAAAATTCATCCTCATAATAATGATGTAGCTACTACTATTATCTCCGTGTTACAAATAAGGAAAATGAGTACAGAGAGAATAAGTAACAAATCACATGACTATTAAGTGGTGAAGCCAGGAACCAAACCCAGACAGTATGGCTCATAAAAAGCACATTTTATAATTTGAGAGAGTATGTGTTAAGTACCATGAAAGATATACAAGCTGCTACAGGAAATCAGAGAAGAAAGAAAAACTTCCTGTGAGATAATCAAGAAATGTTTCAGAGAGGAGTCATTTCAGCTGGGCTCATAAAGATTAATACAGTTTGTATATGAAGGCACTTTGAGCTAATGCTATGAATCTCACTCTGGAGTGTTACTCCACAAACCTCTCCCTTTTTTCTTTTAAAGCACATAATCATGCTTAAATCCATCCTATCTCTTTTTTTAACCCCCCCCCCCCAAACCTGTCCTGCAATCATACAGCCCCTTCCGCTTTCACTGCAAGCCTTCTTTAAAGAAGTCTCCACTCATCATTTTCAATTCCATCTCCTATTCAGCCATCAACTCTCTGCCTCCCGGAATCTGTACCAATTAATTACTCTCCAGAAATGGTTCTTGCTAAGATCACCAATTACCACAGAACTGCTAAATCTAAGGAATACTTTTCAGTTTTTTCCTTTTTTAAAGTAGATGGAGAAAAAAATCAGTGTGAAAGGGGATTTTAAAGAAGGGAGAATAGAACTAAATCATAAAGCAAGGCCCTGGAGAGAGAACGAAATCAGTAACATAGAGAAGGATACTACATTAGCAATGAGAAGGCAAAGAAATGAAAGTGCATATGAAGAAAATAACGTTGAAGGACTTCAATTCTGCTGGATGCTTTCAATTGCTTCAGTAAAGTAGTACGTTAAATTATTTACTATGGGTTGGGAGTTGAGTTCAAGTTTTAAGGAAAGCAAAAAGGTCTGAATGTATCAGATAGTCGATAAAAAACAAAGAAAGAAATATAAGTACACAGTACCCAATGGGACCAAAGGAATGCAAAGAGTATAGGCCAGACAGATCTGGGTTTAAATCCCAAACCTATATATACAAGCCAAGTGTCCTTGAGTGAATCACTACACTGCCCTAAGCCTCAGTTCCACCATCAGTAAAATGGGTTAACATAATATTTCCCCAGGGATTCTGTGAGCATTGAAGTAAATGAGACAGCTTATCTAAAGTGCTAATGGTCTTAATTTGAGAACTTTCCCCAATAATGTTCAGCAACCTAAGCACAGAAAAAAAGGATGACTGAAGCTTGGGAAGATGGACATGGCAGAAGGTTAAAGGAGAAAGAATCTGGGATCATTTGAGAGGAAAACACTGTAATTGCTGACTGTGGAAGCTCAAGACAACAAATGTAATAAGGGTCTGCCAACTCAGAAGAACAGAGGTAGGATAGAGACAGTAGGGCAAAATGAGGTCACAACACAGACTCAGGAGTGATAGCTGTAGATGAAACAGAGCTTGTGGTCAAAGATGGGAAGCTCTATTTTGAGATCTTGGAGGCAGAATAGTTCCAAATAAGAATGAGGTCCAAGTATGGCTGAATCAAGGGGTAATCAAAATGTAAACATTATTGTAAATCATGAACACAATTTACAACAGTTTTATGAGAAATCTCCAGCTATACAACTTGATATTTTTTGAGAATTAAAAAAAAAATCTGATCTCTAAAGAAGGCAAGGGAAAAATACCATATAGTAAGTGCCTGCTATATGCTAGGTGTTTTGGTTTTTTTTAATTGTGGTAAAATATACATAACATAAAATTTATTATTTAATACATTTTTTGGTATACATTCAGTGGCATTAAGTACATTTACACTGTTGTTCAGCTATCATCACCATCCATCTCCAGCACTTTTCACCTTCCAAAACTTCCAAAACTGTCTGCTAGGTGGTTCTAATCCTCACACAATTTACAACTTTACTTTTACAGGTGAGGAAACTGAAGA